GCCCCACTCTTGCTCTGTTTTTCCTGCCCACATATCTATTCTTACCAGAGCAGTCTTTCTACGGCCATACCTAATCATGTCTGTCCCCTACTTGGAACACATCTAGAGTTTCCCGGCTGCCCTTGTGGGAAGTCAACACCCCTGAACATGGCTCACAAAGCCCTTGGACCTGGGATCCTGCCCAGGAATCTTCCCCACCTCTACCTTGCTCTCCCTTAAAGTCTATACTCCAGACACACATACATTTTAAAATGTTCTCTCATGTCATGCTTTTTCCCAGCTCCAAGTTTTTACATACATTATTTCCTCTGCTTGGAACCATTCCCTACGCTCACCCCTCCTTCAGGTCTCTTCTTTGAGGATATAGTCCCTAACCCCTTAGTCTGGATTCAAACCCACCTGCGCCCTTCTATATTGTCCTGAACGACCCTTGCTGTGGCACTTCTGTGAGATACTTTAAATGCTGCTTTAGCATCTCCGTCCCCACTAGACTGTATGCTCTCCAGTTTGGGGTTTGGGTTGTGCCAGAGAGAATGGAGGTCACCTCTGATAAGCAAAGCATAACTACGCCCTGGGATGCACCAAGGACAAACTGGCTTTGGACTCTAGCAGTTTCCTTCAGAGTCAAGGTCCGAGGGCAGTGACTATGACCCTAACAATGAAGGGAATCCCTTGTTCTAGATCCTGGGGCTGTTCCCAGTGATGAGCAGAGAGGAAGTGGCTGGTTTACATGGCATCTCTACCCTTGTGTTCTGCAGCTGCCCCCTTATGCCCAGTGGCCCCCCTGAGTTTCTGTCCACAGAAGCATCCTTCAGAAAGTGTCCCATTTACCAGCAGTGGAGGTTGCTGGAGCCAGACCTGAGCCTGCCCTTGACTAGAACCTTGGGCAATCACTTAACCTCGCTGACCCTTTAGTTTCCCCATCTGTAAAATGAAGAGTAATAAAACCTAACTTACAGGGTTTTAAATGTCACAAGTGAGCATTTAAAACGTGGTTGTCGTTATTATTACAATGGAGTCACATCATACGTACGTTAAATTTATGGGAATTCAACTATGTGTGCTTGGCAACAAAAAGAGATTGAGAAATGGTATAGCAGTTAATTCGGCTAGTCTTTCCACTCGTTGATATATGTCCCAGAGAGAGGGTGACGTGGGAGAAGCTGACTGCCGGATACTCGGTTATTCTCTGTCTTGTGAGCCTCTTCCATTTTGGGTGGAGTTTGTAACTATATCTGGACTTGATTTTTTTTTTTTTTATTAAGAAATTAGTTTCAGGGGCGCCTGGGTGGCGCAGTCGGTTAAGCGTCCTACTTCAGCCAGGTCACGATCTCGCGGTCCGTGAGTTCGAGCCCCGCGTCAGGCTCTGGGCTGATGGCTCGGAGCCTGGAGCCTGTTTCCGATTCTGTGTCTCCCTCTCTCTCTGCCCCTCCCCCGTTCATGCTCTGTCTCTCTCTGTCCCAAAAATAAATAAAAAACGTTGAAAAAAAAATTTAAAAAGAAATTAGTTTCAGAGGTGCCTGGATGGCTGTCGGTTAAGCGTCTGACTCCGGCTCAGGTCATGATCTCACAGTCTGTGAGTTCGAGCCCCACATCAGGCTCTGTGCTGACAGCTCGGAGCCTGGAGCCTGCTTCGGATTCTGCGTCTCCCTCTCTCTGTCCTTCCCCTCTCGAGCTCTGTCTCTCACTCTCTCTCAAAAAAATAAATAAACATTAAAAAATTAAAAAAAAAATGTTTCCGGTATATAACATAATGATTCCACATTTGTATATATTGTGAAATGATCACCACAGGTCAACATATGTCACCATACATAGTTACATGGTTTTTTTCTTGCCATGGGAACCTTTAAGATCTACTCTTACTAACTTTCACATATTATTAACTATACAATGTTATTAACTCTAGTCACCATGCTGGACATTACATCCCCATGACTTATTTATTTGGTAACTAGAACTTTGTACCTTTTGGCCACCTTCACCCATTTTCCCCACCTCCTACACCCCACCTCTGGTAACCACCAAATAGTTCTTTGCATCTATGAGTCCAGTTATTGTCTGTTTCTTCATTTTTTAGATTCCACATAAATCGTATGGTGTTTGTCTTTCTCTGTTTGACTTATTTCATAAGTCTCTGTTTGACTTATCAGCATAATGCCCTCAAGGTCCATCCATGTTGTTACAAATTACAGGATTTCCTTCTTTTTTGTGGCTGGATAACATTCCATTGTTTATATATACCACATCTTCTTTATCCATTTATCCATTAATGGACACTTAAGTTGCTTGCATGTCTTGGCTGTTGTAGATAATGCTGCAGTGAACACGAGGGTGCATATATCTTTTCAAGTTTGTATTTTATTTCCTTTGGATGAATACCCAGAACTGGAATTGCTGGATCATAGGATAGTTCTATTTTTAATTTGGGAGTGGGGGGACCTCCATACTGTTTTCCACAATGGTTGCACCAGTTTGTATTCCCACCAACAGCGCACGAGGGTTCCCTTCTTTCCACATCTTTGCCAACACTTGTTATTTCTTGTCTTTTGATGCTAGCCGTTCTAACAGGTGTGAGGTGATATCTCATTGTGGTTCTGATTTGCATTTCCCTGATGACTAGTGATGTGTAGCACCTTTTCATGTACCTGTTGGCCCTCTGTATGTCTTCTTTGTAAAAATGACTATTCAGATCCTCTGCCCATTTTTGAATCGGATCGTTTGGGTTTTTTGTTTCGTTTTTGTTTGTTTGTTTGTTTGTTTGTTTTGCTATTGAGTTGTATGAGTTCTTTATATACTTTGAATATTAACCCCTTGTCAGTTACATGATTTGCACATGTTTTCTCCCATTCAGTAAGTTGCCTTTCATTTTGCTGATGGTTTCCTTTCTTATGCAGAAGCTTTTTAGTTTAATGTAGTCCCACTTGTTTATATTTGGTTTTGTTGCCTTTGCTTTTCATGTCAAATCCAGAAAATTATCACCTGCGTCAAGGAGATTACCACCTATGTTTTCTTCTAGGAGTTTCATGGTTTCAGGTCTTACATTTCAATCTTTAATCCATTTTGAGTTAATGTTTGTGTATGATGTAAGAGACTGTCCTTTCCCCATTGTATATTCTTGGCTCCTTGGTCATAAATTAACTAACCATATATTCCTGGGTTTATTTCTGGCCTCTTTGTTCTGTTCCATTGATCCATTGTTTTTATGCCCATATCACACTGTTTTGATTACTATAGCTTTGTAATATAGTTTGGAATCAGGAAGCATGATGCCTCCAGCTTTGTTCTTTGTCAAGATCATTTTGGCTCTTGGACTTGATTTTGCCTCACCGTAGTACCAGGTAGAAAATGTAGGGTGGGGCTTACTCATAAGCTGGCAGCTCAGTTTGTATATGTGAATATTTGGGGCAGAGATGAAGAAGGAATAAAGCAAGACAGGGATTTGGGCCCAGGCTGGTTCCATCTGTTAAAGGATGATGGACAGGCTCCATGACATTGACCATTTGACCTTGATCAGCAAGTGGGAGGTACATCCAGTGGAGTTTGTGGGGCTGATGGAGTGATTCCTCCATCAATGCCTTAGTCCCCAAAGATCCCATGTACTCACTGGCCTCACTAGAACCTTCTGCTCTCGTGCATGCCCAACACTCGAGCGCCACTGCCTCTTTGTTCATACTGAGCCTGCCCCAGTGACACTTTCTCCAGTCACACTCACCTGTCGCCTTCCTTCTCTGAGTGTCTAAACCCTAGAATCACTGGAGCACAAAGATCATCTGATCGGCACCTTGTCTTCAGAAGGTAGGGTGTCCAGCCATTCCAGTTTGGCCAGGACTGAAGGATTTCTCAGAAGGTGGGATTTTAGTGCTGAAACCAGGACACTTGGTCACTCTGATAGGCAGACAAATGAGACTTTAGGAAGTCTTGCCTGATCTCCTTAGCTGGGAGTAGTCTTTTTCTCCATTGAACTTCTCGTAGAACATTATCTGTGCCTGTCTATGGCCATGCTTGAACCCCACATCCACCACACTCCAGGATTCAAGTGAATGAGCCTGTGGTTTGAGGACATCTTGGTATTGCGTGTCCTATCTGCACCAGGGGAAGGTCAGAGGGGGAGGTGGCAGCAGGCTGGGTGACCTACCTGGGGCTCTGCCATTCAGGTCCTTTCCACAGCTGTGAAAGTTTCTGCAAAGATGGCTCAGATATCATCACTCTTTGAAACATTTAATTACATATAAAGATCTTGAAGGCTGTCTGGCTCCTCCCAGGGAAACATTTCTTTTTCCTGCTCCTTCTGAAGTTGGCTACTTGGAAAGTAAAGAAATTGAACTGAAGATAAAGCAACCCAGGGGCGGGGGGTGGGGGTGCAGGGTGGGTAGACATTGCTGAAAAGGAGAAGCCTCGGAGAGACAGATGGGAAGGGTGACAGGGAGATGGGAGGGGGGTGGGGGGAGAGGGTGCAGGGAGCTAGAAGGCATTCTCACTGGAGAGTGAGGTACCAGAGGTGAGAAAACTAATGGGTTTCAGGAAGAGAGGGAAAGAGAGAGAGATGGGGGCTGGGCTGGGGAGGGACTGAGAAGGGGGAGCGGGTAGTGTCACAGAGACGAGCGGTAGCAAACCAGAAGAGAAAGCCTGGCTGAGAGGAACAGAGACAACCAACCAAGAAGAGTTTAGCAAAGGCAGAGGGAGGTGAATAGCTTATGGTTCCAGAATTTCAATACCGGGGAGGGGCTTCAGGGAAGCACTGGTTGGAATGGGATGGCCCAGACTGGGAGATACCTTGAAGAAATAATCTTCTTAGGGTGTATGATTAGTGGAGTGGCTTGGCGAAGAGCCCATGGAGGTTATGAGGTGCCAAAGCTTCCCCCCTAATGGCCCTTGCTGTCCCCTTATCCAGGGAAGAGCAACGCAGAGAGTGGCCTTTGGGGTATCGGTTCCGGCCCCCGTCCCAAGGACAGTCCCTCAGGGAATTCCCTCAGCCCTGACCGGCTCCTCTCTTGCAGGCTGTGACAGCGACCACTGGGGCCCCCATTGCAGCAATCGGTGCCAATGCCAGAATGGAGCCCTGTGCAACCCCATCACGGGCGCCTGCGTGTGTGCCGCCGGCTTCCGCGGCTGGCGCTGCGAGGAGCTCTGTGCGCCGGGCACCCACGGCAAGGGCTGCCAGCTGCAGTGCCAGTGCCGCCACGGAGCCAGCTGCGACCCCCGCACCGGCCAGTGCCTCTGCGCGCCGGGCTACACCGGAGTCTAGTGAGTACCGCCCCCAGGGCCCGAGGGGCGGGGCGGGGCTTGCTCCCTCCCGGCAGCTGCGCAGTCTGCCACTGGCTCCTAACTGAGGAGCAGGGTAGGGGGTACAGACAGAAGTTCAAGGCAGTCCTGGCTGGCAGATCTCCCGCGCTGTGACCCCAAGCCCTACAGAGGTTAAATGCCCAGGCCTCACCCACGCAGGTCCCCGGTCCCTCCATCCAGGCCCCAGGGTGACAGGTGCAAGCTGAGACCAAGTACATCAGGAGTTCATGAAACTCCTCCCGGGAGGCCCTTCCTGTCCGGGCCCCAGACCTCAGTTTGGCATTCTCCTCTGATCATAACCCAAACGCCCGCTGCTCACCTGGGTCCCGACCCTTCCAGGCCATTTGAGAAAGAGATGGGTGAGGGCCCTGGGCAGTAAGTACCATGGATAGATTCAGAGAATTTATTGTGCCTGTTCATATCCCCTGTCTTCTCCCCTCACACCCCAAACACCCCTCACTCCAGTTCTCTAGAGAGTCTGTACTGAGAGGGAACCTCCAAGACTGCTTAATTGAGACCCCCTCAGAGCAAGATTGAAGTTCTCCTCCCCACTCCCCACCCTGTTGAAGACTCAGTGGCCTCCCAGCAGCCCTAGATCCTGAGAGGGTATCCAAGGACACTGGTCAGGGACACATCCTTGATTGAGGGTGTTTCCTGCCCCAAGGTCTGGCCAGCTCCAGGGCCAGCTCCAGCTAGAGGCCAGGGCCATTTCCCTGAGGCCCAAGGCCAAGATCCTGTGCAAAGCCTCCCTCATACCTCAGCAGTGCACGTGAACCCGTCATGATAGCTGAGACCTTTCCAAAGGCTAAAAGTGGGGCATGCCCCAGATACTTACTCTCCCTGAATCTAGGTAGATTCTTAAAAGCCAGATCAATAACCACATCTCAGTGCCTTTACTCATGCTGTTCCTTCTGCCTGGCATGCCCTTCCTTCCCTTCTCCCAGTGGAACTAACTTCACCTTCAGGACCCACATAAAATGTCTTCCTCTCACGGAAGCCTTCCCCAAAAAACACTCTTCTTGACATTAAGCACTTAAGTTACCCCATAGGCATGGGCCCAGTCACACAGCATTCCAGTTCATTATGTCTGAGCCCTGTTTCCCCCTTCTGGCAGAAAGCAGGACTGCATCTCAGCTAACTGGCCCTAATACAGTTCACATTGGCTGTGGACTCTCGAATTCCTAGGGAGCCCTGGAGTACTGGGACACTACCACTGACTGAATGCTGCCATGTCTAACACCTCTGCTTCTTCATGCAGCTGTGAGGAGCTGTGTCCACCTGGAAGCCACGGGGCTTACTGTGAGCTGCGCTGCCCCTGCCAGAATGGGGGCACCTGCCACCACATCACTGGAGAGTGTGCCTGCCCCCCAGGCTGGATGGTAGGTGGGCCCACAGGACCTGGGTGGGCCTCTGTAAGAGGTGTGAGCGTCCCTCACCCACACACCCGTTGAGGGGCTGAATTCTTTTCCCACCCTGAAAACCCTCCCTCCTATCTGTAGTCACAGGCATCACTAGATAACCACCGGAGATCCCTTGGACACAACTTTGAATGACAGTCTACATCTAAGGGCTGTGTGAACTGATGGCAGGTTCCTTAACCTCTCTGAGCCTGTGGTCTCTCATGCTCAAAGGAGTTGAAATCTAGATAAGCTCTTTCCTTGGACATAGGTACTCAGCTGAGCTGCCGTGGGCTCTGGGCCCAATGTGGCAGAAAGGGTGTGGTGTGAGTGCAGGGGAACAGGTGGGAGGAGGAGGGGAGACGGAAGAGTAGAGATCACCTGAAGTTCTAGAACTTCAGATTCCCAGCCTGTACCCCCTTGTTCTGTGGGCCCAGAATCTGTATTTCAATATGTGCTCCAGGTGATTCTGCTGCAGCCTCAACCAACCCAGCTCTTGTGTCTGGGAACCGCTATTATGGAAAGGAAAGGATGGGAATTATAACCTCACAGGCCTCAGTTCAGGTCCTGCAACCAGTGTTGACCCTGAAAAAAGTGCTCAGTCTCTGTTTCCCCATCTGGTCTCTGTTTCCCCATCTGTAAGCAGAACCCATACAACAATAGTAAGCCCTGCCCTTCATAACTGTCCTGGTGGGCAAAAGGCTCAGATGAGGCAGTGCACGTTCAAAGTGACTTGCAGACTCTGTCCTTTATCATTGCTTGTTTTATATCCCTGGATCCTGCAGACAATCCACAAGCCTCTTTTTTTTAGCTAACACACTCTGTCAGTGCTCCCCCCACCAATGACCCAAGCTTCTCAGGAGCACCGAGTCACTAAATCGGACTCTCCCAGGCTGCGCCCCCGCCTCTGACTCTCCAGTAACACACCTCATTTTGGGGGAAGCTCAGTGACACAGGGGGCTGCATCCCCCAGGGCCTGAAACTTCTTTGCAAAGCCAGAGAGGACAGGGGTACTGAGCAGGAGCAGGGTATTTCGGGAAGCTGTGAATGCACAGGTCATGGGGAGCAGGCTGGAGGGATGCTTGCAGGGCCCATTGACACGGGCACAGATTTGCCGGGATTTTTTAGAGCAGGAAAGGACCAGGGGATGATTTGGCCCAGCAGTGTCCAAACGTGGCTGCACACCAGAGTTTCTGGGGCTGGGGGTGGGTCTTAAGAACAGATTTCCAGGCCCCACCAGAGACTTTCTGGGGCCTGGATCTCTATCTTTAATAAGCTCCCCAGATGATTCTGAAGCAGCCAACCCTGTCCGCAGATCCATATTTGGAAATAATTGATCAAGACTGTAGGATTTCCTTCCGAGTTTCACAGAACCCTAAGGTTTCTTGGGGGTGAGGGTGGGTGGGGAGCTAATAATTAGGGCTCTGGGTCCCACACACCCTCACTTCTCCATTTTAATCTTTCTATATTGAGGTTCTTGGTAAGATTTCACATAAAAACAGGGCCTCCCAGCTTTTAGAGGTCTGAACACCACTGGTCCATCAATCCCCTCCTTTCTCAGATGAGGAAGCTGAGGCCCAGAGAGGTTGAGTGACCTGCCTGAGACTACACTGATGGTTAAGAGGAAGGTGGGTTAGAATCTGGGTCTCTGGACTCTGGACTCCTGAACCCCAGCCCTTGGTGTCTGTCTGACTGTCTCTTCTGAGGACCAAGGGGCTGCTGCTGCCTCTCTCATTTCTCACCTGCCCATTTCTCCCGCCCTGAACCAGTCTCTGGAAAGACCCTCTTATCTCCCACCTGCTTCCAGAATTCCACCACCCACAGGCTGGGTTTTCAGAGGCCTAGCAGCAGGCATTGAGGTTGGGTCAGGGTGAGGGAGGAGGAGAATGGGCCACAGGCCTCTCTAGAGAGACTGATGGAAGCCAGTGGTCAAAGAAGGGGAAGGGAGGAAGTCTTGGAGGAATTTTTTTCTCCCCAACACAGTGAGAAGTTTGTTCCTCGAGACGACAGGAAACTGTCAATAGACACCTATGGATTTGGGGACTTTATATTTTTAATTTTTTTCTAGACAATTGCGTTTCTATTTTTTTTTTTTTTTTTTTTT